CTCAAAGAGTCACAACATTTCCATCTATCTAATCACACAGAGTCCTTCTCAGGCCTTCAGAATAACATTCCTCTGCTCGCCTAGAAAACAACTTGTCAGCATAGCACAGATACTATATACAAAGAAACAAAATGGAACCTCTCTGGCTCACTTCATAATTACAAAACCCATATGCCTTTAAAAGATTTTAACTTAAAAACCCATCTCATCACACCACCCAGTTTTAATTTAGGTTTGATTTCTTTGGTCAAAGGTACAAATAAGAATCACACAACTTACAAAATCTCTGGGGAGGGAAATCCCAATGGGCTAAATTTAAGTTAATGCTGCCCCCAAATTACACATTTTAAATTTTCTTCCTTCTTTCAAGGAAGGAGGTCAGAGGAGTATCCAGTCAGGGGATTTCATCTAGGAATAGTTGACATTCCCATCCCACAATCTCCCATATTTCCTGTGATTCTAAAACTGACCCTAAACATGGTTAAGTCTTCCTTTGACAAAAAGACTTCTGGAACAGTCCGTGAATTGCCACTTCTTTTAGAGGTGATGGGTGTCTTCTCTCTCTCCTCCAACCAGGTCCGGGGGCCAAATCACTCGGGGGCCACGTTTGCATTAAAAGGCATTTTTATTATGGTAAGGAAAAGACTTTAAAATATTTTTTCAGAATATAATTATAGCCCAATATATTAATACTGTATTGTAATATTAATATAGACATGAGACAGCTGTAAATTGGCCACCGCCAATTTACATTTTTGGGGGAGGGAAAACACCCCCCACCCTTCATGCCTTCTCCATCCAAAAAGGCATCTCCCCACCCAGGGCCCTTCACTGCACCGCCATCGCCACACCTGTAAGCACCGGAGACTCTGGAGTTTTTAAAGTCCTGTTGCCATCTTGGGCGTCAGCATTTCGGGACTCTTTGAATTGGGCTAAGGCCCAAGTTGAAGACAGATGAGGAGGAGCAGAGAGAAATGAGAGAGAGCAGCTCTTTCGGAGGGGGCGAGAGTGATGCCCATGCATAAAAGGAAAATCTGCCCAAAGGGAGAAAAGGAAAAAAGATTAGGTTGCCTGCAATTCCCGTCCAGATTAAGTTCATCTGTGGGCCAAGAGGATGAAAATAAAGCAGTGTTGTGTTGTGATGGACAGGTCAGTAACCACTCCTGTCCATCACAATGGAACCCTGATTTAACAACCAATGGGTGAACAGAAAAGGCGGAACTAAGATGATATAAGAAGAATGGAAGATAGTTAAAGATCAGTTAGGGATGAGTTAGAAGTTAGAGTTATATATATATATGTATACACACACACACACACAGACATACACACACACACACGTGTGTGTGTGTGTGTGCATACACATATACATATACAGTGGTGCCTCGCATAGCGATGTTAATCCGTTCCGGATTAATCGTCGCTATGCGAAAACATCGCTGAACGGAATAAAAAAAGCCATAGGAACACATTAAACTTTGTTTAATGTGTTCCTATGGAGGATAAACTCATTGTTCAGCGATGTTCCTCCATAGGGGCGGCCATTTTCGGTGCCTCTAAAGCGAGGCAGCACAGCCGGTCGGCCATTTTAGAACCGCCGACCAGCTGACCGAAAATGGCATTTTCCCCCAGCTGAGTGGCGGGAGCTTCAAAGCCCGGCCGCTCAGCTGGGGGAAAATATCGGCAGTTGGCGGTGGCTTTGGATGGATCCCAAAGATATAACTCTATATATGTTGCCCTTGGTGAGG